TTGTTACCTTACTTAAAACTGTATTCCCTTATAGCTTGAATTCCCATCTTTCTCCCGGTCTCTTTATTCACATTAATCTTCGTAGGTCATCTATAGAGACAGACACAATCCATGCCTTTGCTGAACTTATAAGGATACTGTATTTCTCTACTGTTACATTGTTTCCTTTTTGGGTTTTTTTTTTTTTTGGATACCAGAATCATTAACTAGACAATATTTCTCACCCTTACTTGAGACTATCCAGTTCTCCTGATCCAAAGTTAATGAATTTGTGAATCTCATGCCCTAATCAACAGAAACCTGCCAGAATAACTATGAATGAATATGTGAAGACTATAATCTGAGGTCATCAAATAAGAAATAGACCACATCTACTCAGTCACATGTCCATGACACTTCAACGGGGTTTTGCAATAGTGAAGACACTCAGCTCAATTCTGAGAAGAACAAGAACTCAGATGCTATTTTTTAAAAATCTTCTTTGCCTTGTTAATCCTTCCAGACAGGGATGTGTGCACAATCGACCCCTAAAAATCTGTTCTTTTTTAGGGGAGGTTACAGCTTTTAAAAAATTTTACCACAAGAAGGCTGTACTATTTCATCTTTTTCATGTCCACTTCCAGTTTTACTTCAATGTTCAGATACCATATTGGTTTCCATAACTTTAAAAGATTAGATGTTTTTGTTTGCAACTCTTTACCCCCATTATCACAATATTCAAAATAATTCTAACTCAAAATCTATGTGCTAGGGCAGCTGACATGTTTAAGTTCCTCAACTATTTCCTTCTATTTTGTTAAATTCAATATACACTCTATATGTACAAGTTTCTTCAGGTTCTCAAGTCATGGCTTTGAAATTAAGACATACCTAAGAGAACTGTGGCTAGAGAAAGATGGAAAGTGGCATCAGGAGTGGGGCAAAAGGAGACAGTGATTTTTTTGGAAACAGAAATAGAGGAGGATATCAGGGGGAACAAGAAAAGGACCGGAGATGGTGGCAATAGTAAGAGATGTCAGAGGTGTTGGACTATTCCCTGGTTATCTTTATAAGTAAATGGGAAAGGAGGGCTCTAAGCCTTGGCATTGTCCTTTATGATATATGAGGACATGATGACCCTTCCAAAATGTCCCAAATGACCTAGACCATCTAATTTGGGACTACCTGGAATTCATTTCAGGAAGACAGAATATTCAAGAAGGTTTAATGATCTTCCCTCAAAGACTAACTGGATGAATTCAAACTCAAAGAGGGAAACATCTTTCAAATTCACTTTAAAAGCTTTCAAAAATTCTATTTAAAGCTAAAAAGCAGAAGGAGCAAGATTACAGTCGGGCAAATACTGTGAAATATTTGGGGCAAGAATTGGGATGAAGTGGTGAGGAAGGGAAGAATTGCAAGATTTGTTACCTAAGGGGTATAATTACCCACACAACATATTTCCCAAGAACTTTTCAATCTTTAAGCTTTCTGCTTCTGTGCTTTCAAAAGCCAGCCTAGATATAGTCTTCTAAGTGTGTGATCCAGAGGAAATGTGAGATGTATCACTGATTACTTTGAGTTCCCAACTGTCCTATTTTTATAGCTATCTATAGCTATGTAGTTGACAATAAACTATTTCATAAATGTCAGCCACTTCCCGCAAGTTTTAAATTGCTTGCTTATTCTACTTGTGGAAACATTTAGGTAAATGACTTTGATTTCTTTTCTCTAAGTTAATCTTTACCTGTAGCAATGAGAAAATTTGATTTTTATAAAACTACTTTCAAAGAGTGACTTGAGTGTGGCAATCTACTTTTTTTTGCTCTTATTTGTTTATTATTATTTTTTATTATGTATGTTTTTATTTAAACTCCAGTTAGTTAACACACAGTGTAATATAGTTTCAGGTGTACAATATATTGGTTCAATACTTTCCATACATCATCTGGGGCTCACCACCATAAGCACACTCCTTAACCCCCATCACCTATTTAACCCATCTCCCCACAACCTCCCCCTCTGGTATCATCAGTTTGTTCTCCACAGTTAAGAGAGTCTATTTCTTGGTTTGCCTCCCTCTCTCTCTCTCTCTCTCTCTTTTTCCCCCTTGCTCAGTAACCTACTTCTCAAACTAGAGCTTTCTGAGTAGGTAGAAAAACAAGTTTTTTGTTTGTTTGTTTTAAATTGACAATTAGTAGTAGACTAATCAATCCATCTTGCAAGATCCTGAATAGAATTGAAGTCTAGTCCCTCTTTTCTATGTGAGGTACCCCTACCTCGGGCATCCCACTCTGTTGGGGGCCCTTTTATTCCTTAAATGGTGTTACTCCAATAGGTGGAAAAAGTCTGATGCTGAAAGCATTCATTTCTCATTTGCTGACTACGGACCAAGTTCTTTCAGTCAGCTACTTGAGTATCACTAAATTGAAGCATGCTCACTGTGATAAACCAAAAGAATCAAGAGCTGACCTAAATGGATAGAGGCAGCCAAAAAGAACATATTGAAGAAGGTGCATTTTGAATGATGGGAAAGAATTAAATGGTAATAAGGGAGCAGAAAAGAATTTCATTAATGGAAGCAAGGTATAAAGAAAGCTTTGTTTCATATGAAAGGAGTAGGAAAATGATAGTAAGCATGCTTCACTAAATGTTATCAGCATCTAGAAAAACAAAACACAGAATACAGACTATTTCTATTTTGATACATTTTCAGTTATTTAATTGGTAAATATTTATTGAGCATTGACTATTGTCAGTTGTTTTTGATTTTAGTACTTAGCTGGGGGAGTAGGGATGTATGTATAGATTTTCAACATCTAATACATCTTTACATGAATATACTAAGTTTGAAAATGTTTACCCTTTTCTCTCTCTTTTGAACATTGCTATCAGCTTATTGAGCCTTTTCCATTACTTTGTTAGATTAAATATTATGCCTATTTCACATGAGGAAACTGAGGCTCAGAAGTGTTTGGTGATTGGGCCCAAGCTCACATATCTAGAAACTGAACCATGCTGTTTGTCTCCCTAGGTACTCTTCACTGCTATACCAGCTGCCTGCCTGATTTAGGTAAAGTGACAGTGGGCCACTGCCACCACCTTTCCTTAACTAGATAATCTACTGTATGTAGTAATGAGAAATGAAGTTTTTAAATGGGTATTTAAGAAAGCCATAAGGACACCTGTGTGGCTCAGTCAGCTGAGTGTCCAACTTGGCTCAGGTCATGATTTTGTGGTTCATGAGTTCAAATACCATGTCAGGCACAGCTCAGAGCCTGGAGTCTGCTTCGGATTCTGTGTTTTTCTCTCTCTGCCCCTCCCCTGCTCTCTCTCTCAAAAATAAATAAAAATTTAAAAAGTAATTAAATTTAAAAAAAATTTTTAAGAATGAGGATGAAAAGAACTGCCATTATTGAACTCAGAAGTTACAAGATGAAGAAGTCCCTGTTTTCACAGGGACTGAAAAAGAATTCTAGACATATATTTAATGACAGGAACTGGAAGCAACTAGAAGTGTTTTTTGTTTTGTTTTGCTTAATAAAGCACACCAGGGGCATCATGGCATGGTGGGGAGCAGGATTAGGTTCCTGGGCAGTAGAAGGAAGACCCCACTGAAGTTGTGAAGGTGGCTGTGAGGAGAGAAGGTAATGGAAAAGTTAAAAATCATTCCCAAGATGGCAAGCTTAAGAAACCAGGGATGGTAACTATACTGCATGTGATGAAAAATCTGGAATGGAGGGGTTATTTTGGGTATGGTAAGAGGGTGAATTTGAAATTAAATATTAATGTAATCAGGAGCTGCACTGTGTATTTAGAGTAAAATTCCAGGACACCCTCTCCACCTTCAAACTTTTTATACCCTACCATAGCAAAAAGGCCAAAATACTTTTACAGGAAGGAATAATTTGCAAAGACTGGGCTATAAATCCAACTGAACTTGGTGTTGATAGCCCAATCATGGATTTTGTCAGACCACAGATCTGCTATCTCTAGCAGTCCTGTGGAGATTGTGAAGACTGTCTTTTCCTTTTCATCAATGATAGACAAGCTAGTTAGATGTCAGAGTCCTTCCTTCTTTTCCTCCTTCTTCTCTCCCTCCTTGGCTCCCTTCCCACTTTCCCTCCTTTCTGTTTTGGTTTGGGGTAAAATTCATAGGACATATGCTCTTGTCACAGTGGCTGATTTCTCAAGATACTGAATGATGATTTTAGTTAGATAACTGACTCCATACAATAGAATATATCTTAATTCTGGGTATATTTTATAGATTTGTCTCTTTAACCCTGATAAATATCTCCCCTTGGGCCTCATCCTGTTTGTTCAGAGAATAATTTGTTCTGACATTATATTTAATAAATGAATAATCACCAAGGTGTTCCAGCATATATCAGACACCATTAAATACATAGGAAAGTTTTCACCAGTGGAGTCTATTTTATCTAGTCAAATTTTTTCTTATTAATTCAATCCAAACAAGCTTCTCAAAATTAAATATTTCTGTAAATGTGTGTGTATGTTTCTATCATTAACTTTCAAAATTTTATTCTAGTTAAAAACATTAACTTATTTTTTCCTTTAAAAAATAAAACTGTCAGTACTGTTTACTTTAATTCACTTATTTCTTGTCTTGAAAGAAAATCAATAATCTCTATGGTCCAAGATCTATATTTGTCACATTCAACCTTCCTCTACTTCCCTGCCAAATAACAAAAACAATAAAGAAACAAACTCAAGAAACGGAAAGAAATTGAAGAACTACAGGCACCAGCAGGGAAGTCTGACTGGATCTGATAACAATAGAAATTATTTTAACAAAGTTATCGTATTATAGGCATACTGCATCTTTCAGAGAGTAATCAATAGAAAATATACATTTACTCAACATATATTCTACAAACTATTTCATACTACTTTGTTGTTAATGGTAAAGCTGGTCACAGACATACACTTGTTAACTGATGATTCTGTAAAAAGAAAAGTTTCCAAAAGTTACACTACTGCTGTCACTTCCTACTTACAGCAACAGCCTCCAGGATTTGTTTAACAGCATCTGCAGCATCTCGTTCACTATAATATCCTTTTTCCACAATCCTAAAAAAAAGCAAACAAACCATGAAATGCTCCTCAGACACAAGCATTCAGTGGAGTGGATGTGAAAACAAGTTAATTAAGTTGATGTTAAGGAAGATACATTTAAACAATTGCAAGAGGCCAGCATAACACCAGGGGGAATATTTCCATCAGCTGATACTCTAGAAATTTTGGGTTTATTCAAGAAAATGAAAAACATTTATCTTGCCTTAGGCTTGAACTGTCCATCCTATCTGAAGACAAAAAAAAAAAATTATTTTTAAACTTTGTATTGAGAATCCTGTGAAACATATACCAAGTAGGCGACATACCATGAACTATCCTGTGTAATTGCTACACGGCTTCAATAATTATTAATTCATGACCAGTGTTGTTTTATCTATCCATTTATTTTCCATTACCTTTTTTTATTTTGAAGCAAGTATCAGACGTCCATAATTTCATTCATAAATAAGTATTTTTCTCTAAAAATAAAGGATCTTTTAAAACTCATAACTACAGTGCCATTAGCATACCTATAAATTACAGTTCCTTAATATTTTCCAAATGGCAGCGTTTCAAATTTCCAGTTCTCTTGGACATGTTAAAAATTGTTTGTTTGAATCAGTATCCAAATAAGGTCCACACAGTTTGACTGGTACTTATGCCTCTTATTCTCTTTTTTACATGTCCCTCCTCATTCCTCACTCCTTCTCTCTCCCCTCTCTCTCTGTCTGGCCTTCTATTCCAAATACATGATTTGCTCTTTTTGCCTGGATGTGGACAAGGAATCTTTCTTTTCCTTCTTTCCATTTTTTTTAAGGAATCTTCTTTTAACTTAAGTCTTTTTCATTTTACTTTCAGGAATGTTTTCCTGAATTAGATTGATTTGTACTTGTTTTCTTCCATTGCTTTCATTGCTTTGGTTGTCTTCTTTGGGGTGTGCAATTATACACATTATGAGTTTTTTTTTAACTTTTTATTTATATTTGCTTTCTCTCCCATGTTCTTAATTTTAGTATTAAGTAATATTAATTTTACTATTCTACAGATTATGGTATACTTTAATCTGTTTTGTGGGCATATCCTCCTGACATGCTAATTTTCTGTGCTCTTATAATCATTCTGTATTACAATTAATGGAGACACCTGTCTGTTGCTGCTGACTTTTAAGCAAAGATGGTTTACTTAACCTTTTTTACAGAACGATGGGTCAGGATATCTTATAGTTTCATGGCTCTTGACTTTCTAATTATTTTCATGAAGCATTCAAAATTATGTCCTCATACTGTCTGAGATCTCTTCTCCTCTATCTGGAACTTTATCTCTACTCATCTTCTCTGGGTATCAGAGTCTCTTCCGAGCAGTTTCTCCTAATTTACCCAAGGGGCTTCAGAAGTAGTTTCAGGATTCATGGAACCTTGACTGCCTTAAGTCAAGTCCTTCAGACCTTATTGTGGGTGCAGCCCTTGTGCTTCTCAGAAATTTGAATGGCAGAAAGCCCTCACAATTTCAGCTGTTCTTGTATTGGCCCATTCTGCTTCTCAGTGATTTGGAGGCTTTGGAGATTGGAGTGGTCTATTCTTAGGTTTATCAATGTCCCCTTGCTTCCTCTAACATAGAGGCTAATGCCATGTGGCTCTTGCAATGGCCATTAGTTTGTCCTCATTCACTTGTTTCAAGATTTCAAGGGAAACCTTGTCACCTGGTTTTGTTATAGATATTGTCTGTGACTTTTAGATTTTTCTGTCCTAGTTTCTCTATTCTTAAAGGGATATTTCAGAAGACTGGACAACTACACTCTTTCTATTTCTATTTTCTCAAAATTTCAAGAGAAAACACATTTTTGATAGTGCTAAAGATTACCAACTTGCATAAGATGTTTTCCACCAACAAAAAGTCTGTGGTAAAGATATGCCTGAAAAAGTCAATTCAAAACATACAAGAGACAAAATTTCAACAATGTTTATAATTTTGCATTGAAAACTTTTAGGCTATTAATATCTTATATAGCACAGTTATTTTTTGGAAAGTATCTTCCTTCCTTCCTTTTATTTTTTTTTAAGGTTGTGGCAAGAGGTTGTTAAGTTCTCAAAGCCGGTATTAAAAGTTGGATTTAAAAATCTATAAAAAAAAAAAAAAAAAAAAAAGCCACCTGGGTGGCTCAGTCAGTTAAGCGGCTGACTTTGGCTCAGGTCATGATCTCACAGTTCGTAGGTTCGAGCCCCACATTGGGCTCTGTGCTGACAGCTCGGAGCCTGGAGCCTGCTTCAGATTCTATGTCTCTCTCTCTCTCTCTCTCTCTCTCTCTCTCTGCACCTCCCTGGCTCACACTCTGTCTCTCTTTCTTTCAAAAATAAATAAACATTAAAAAATTTTTGGGAAAAATAAAATAAAAACCTATAAAATGTTTCCAAAATAGGGGATGGATGATGAGAAAAAGCAGAAACAAAACCAGATATCAAGTAAAAAATGCATAAGAACATACCTCAGTGACCATAATTATCAAGAATCAGAAAAATTATATGGATGCAAAAATTTCAATTATTTTCTTGATTCAACACTGGCAGTAGACACAAATGCATTATCTTTTTAAAGGAGGAAAGATGGAATATCCTTCTTCACCTTTTTATTTATCAGACACCTGTTATGTGTCAAGGTCAAATAAAATGTCAAAGTAGATTACAATATTAAGGGAATCATTATTAATTGGTTCTTGAAAATCAATTTTCATACAATATTTCCTTTTAAGATCACACATTCTTCCAATTCATGATTAAGTTACATAGTCTACTTCCTAGAAATACTTGAGAACTTAATTGAAGTAATTATTTGCACTATACTTTCTGAATATTTTAAAATTAAGTGTGAGAGAAGAGGAAAAGAAGGACTAGCCTGTCAGAGTAAGTTGAGAATGTTGGCTACCTCTGCATTTTGCTCTAAATGTGGATTTTGTGGTACATCCATCAACCAACTCAAATGTAACAAGTGTCTCCTCTGTGTGTGACACCTGCACTCTAGCAGCTTGGCTTTCCTCAGTCCTCTTAAAGGAGGGGATTTGTTACAAAGACAGTGGAAAGGAATGGCCAATAGCTGACTTTCTTTCTGCCTTCCATTCTTCTCAGAAGAGGATAAACTCAGTTACTTTCTGGGCTGCAAAAAACAGCATGGATTTTCCCCATAGCCAGTCACCAAGGCTTTGTGCCAACTGCTCTCTGGCACTGCTCTAGGGGTGCTACTCATTGCTTAGTCCATGTAAGCAGTACTCTGCCAAGTTGCACAAACCTGTGCAGCCTCTCTGATGAGAAATCCTCCTTGTCTGATAAATACATAAGTTCTTATGACTATATCCCCACCTCTTAGAAAGGGAGTGTTTCACTCGCTAGAAATTTCTCCCTATATTTTGATTTACTATGATGCCCCAGCTTTGGCCTACATATGATGTTTATGAATTTTTACTTGGGTATCATTTAGAGTTAACTGCCTGTGCTCAGAATGTGACCATGTGTGTGCATGTCTAGGGACTGGCTGGATAAAGGAGTGAATTTTCTTGGGACCTGTTTTCAGGTGGGATAGAGGGAAGAATAATAGGTGTAAGAATAGTTAATGGAAATCTCCCAAATTTTCCACAACATATGTTAAATTAGTAAAGCATTTCATCTAGTTAATGGAAACAGTGAATTCTAACATATATGTTCATTCTTTCATTTATTCAAGAAATATTATGGAATGACTGTTATGTGCTGGGCATCCAGTAGTGAACCAGACATGGCCTCTGCACTTATGGGGTTACTCTTGGTATATGCGGACAGACAATCAATACAGTGTGCTAAATACTGTGGCAGAGGTATTAGAGAATGACCTGAGGGCTCACAGAGAGGGCCACTGATACATTCTGGAGGCCATGCACGGTGGGAAGAGGATTCTAGACATAGCTATATCTCTAGACTGCAAGGGTGTATAAAAGTTTTCTAGTTGCAGAAAGGGTAGGAGCTGAGAGTGGAATAGGTATGGAGGAGGAACAGGGACTAAAGAGGAAAAAGACTGCTTTTAAAAAAAAATTTTTTTTGAGAGAGACAGGGAGCATATATATGTTGGGGAAAAAGGCAGGGTGGGGTGAAAGAAAGAGAGAGACCATCTTAAGCAGCCTGCACACTCAGCATGGAGCTCAACACGAGGATTGATCCCACAAACCTAGGATCATGGTCTGGGTGGGAATCAAGAGTCAGACGTTCAACTGACTGAGTCACCCAGGCACCCAGGAAGGAGACTGTTCTAAGAAAAAAGACCAAAACTACAGTGAGAATTAGAGAGTGTAGATGGCATAATGATAGTCAATCAACATTTCTAACTGTCTAACATGAGTCAGGTATTTGCTGAAGTTATAAAATTTGGGTCCTGCCCCACAGGAAACCAGAGTACAGAAATTATTAGCAAAAGCATCGCCACAGATGTAAAAACATGTTATACTAAGGTTTGTACAGCCAAAGGATTTATAAATTCTGTTGTCAGAAATTTCTCTAGAGTAAGCATGTGGGATAGGAACACAGAATGCAGGCATTTTCCCCACCCCATCCCCTTGACCTCTATTCTCCATTGCTTCACCGCGTCTCTTCCAGGCTCCTTCTGTTAAAAGGCATTTTGTTCCCAGTGGATTTGTTTCCAGAGCTAGGTTTCTGGAACTCAGACATTCATCTTTAAGTTATTTTATAAGTTGAGCTTCCACCCAGGCCATTCATGGCTGACTAGAAAGATCAACAGCAGTGAACTACTCAAGTTGCAAATGCAGGTTTTTAACTTAACAGCTAAGATTGGAAGTGAAGACATTAGTGACCAAGCAAAGGAAAATAAGTCTTACAATCTTTTTCTCTCCATTTAGGCGTGACTATAGTAGATATGTTTGGCCAATGCCTTCTGCAGATTATCATGGGAAAATTCTTAGCCTTCTCACTAGATTGTTGCTTTGATCACCCAGAGAACCTAGCTCCCAGCCTTGCTCATACTGGGCAGTCACAGATATT